TAGATGACTTTGCTTCTCATCCTTTGTTAAAGAACAGAGAACAAGACATGTGTCGAATTCTTAAGAAGCTCAGACACTTTAACATCTCAGTTGTCATTTGTGTACAGACAGCAAAGAGTTTAAGTAAGGATGTTAAAAGAATACTTACTGATATCATACTTTTCCCTGGATTGTCCGAAGACGATTTCATGGAACTTATGAAAGAGTCCATGGCAGGTAAGTTTGACAGACATGAACTATGGGAGAAGTACAAAGTCATACAAGACCCTCATACTTCTTTCAGAATTCACATCTACGCGAACAAAGTTCAAATTGTAAAAAGTCAAGCTTGAAAAATAAAGAGTTTTGGCGACCAGGGTTTTTTCACTACTCGCTGTTCTTCTCTCGGTTTTCCGAGGGAAGCAACCATATGTCATTTTACTCAGAATTTTGTTGCTGAATTCAATAAAAATAATGTTTAGGGTAGATGGGTATATCTAACCTCTTTTCTAACCTCTTTTCTACCCCAGTTATTTTATAAGCGTTTTACATGGTAAACGTTATTTTTAAAATTTTGTGAAAACTCAACGGTTTGACACATGCCCTAAAAATTATTTTACTCATGAATTTTCATACGGAATTCAGCAAAAATATATTTTAGGGTAGAAGGTTAGATATACCCTCTTTTCTACCCTCTTTTCTACCCCAGTTATTTTATAACCGTTTCACATGGTAAACATTGTGAATTCGTGAAATTCTAAACAATTTCGTAGCTTCTATTTCTTCTGTCAGTATGTCAAAAGTTTTAACGATACCGAAAGTCTCTTTATATTTCTTCTTGACGTCAGATAGAAGGAAATCGTCAGCTGTTGGATAGTTTTTGTTCAGAAATTCTAACATGTCCATTTTATTTTCTGCTGGTTTCTCTGCCTCCCTCTTTAAGTCAGCATAGTCGTTTCTCATACGTTCTATCTCTTTGACGGAGTAGTTATATTTCCTAATTGCTGCTTTACATTTTGAACATTGTGGGTTCATTTTAGCATTGTACATTGAAATTTGACCTGCTAAAACAACTAAGGCGTCAATGGTTTTCTTTAACTCAAAAGTTGCTGGTTTTATCTGTTCGTTCCATACTTTACCTCTTTTATCTTTATCTCTTATCTGCCATACACATTTTGCAACTAACGAAACAAAGTTGTCGTAGGTCTTAAACTCTTCAGATTTATATATGTCAGAGATGTTCTTATATACCATGTCGCAATCTTTGTCCATGACTTTGTGGTTGCAATGAAATCCAAGAAACTCATAGTTAACCTTACGTATGAACTTCTTTATTTCTACTGAGTCAGTTGCTTTGACTTCTATTTCATCGAATTCTGGAATAGTAAGCTTTTGTTGTTGGATTTCAGGCAATTTGGGTAAATGGTCAATAATATCCTGCATTTCATAAAGATACTGTTCATTTGTTTCATCTTTCGCACTACAGTCTAAATTACTTGTTAAAAGTTCTTGCTTTATCTTCTGGATTTCTGTCTCAAAAGTATATGAAGAAGGAATGAAGCTTTTCATCTCTACTAACATTGAAGTTGGGTTCATGACTAACGAGTTTGGTGCTGTTGTTGCTAACATGTTCTTACAATAAAAATAAAAAAATATTTTTTTAAAAAAACCAACTTTATTTTTTATTTCGGGAAAACTCATGACAAATTCAAGAGGGTAGAAAAGAGGTTAGAAAACAGGTTAGATATACCCATCTACCCTAAAATATATTTTTGCCGAATTCTGTATAAAACTCATGACAAATTCATGAGGGTAGAAAACGGGGTAGAAAAGAGGTTAGATATACCCATCTACCCTAAATTATATTTTTGCCGAATTCAGCAACAAAATTCAAATTGTAAACGGTTTAATAGAAAAAGTGTTATTTTTTCATGTCCGAAGACTCGAAGGTGCAACACTTCCAAAATACCGACGAACTCAGAAGAGCAGCATGGCAGTATGTTCTTGACAACTTCTTTGAGTTCTCCAGGAACACCTTGGAAAATGCTGAAGAACTCCGACACAGAGAATTTGGAGAAATTGCACTCCAATACTACCTTGACAAACAAAGGGTAAACAAAGGGTAAACAAAGGGTAAAATAAGACTAAAAACTTAACGTTTAAAAAGTGACATTTTTATGAGCTCCGAGTCACCGAGAAAACTTGGTCAGATGTTAGCAGCTTACTTCCCTGAGGAGGATGGAAGCGTTACATACGTAAGGTTCAAAAACAACGAACCTGGAATTGCGTACCAAATTCGCAATTACATGACCATGGAAGAGTACGAAAGGTTCCTACAAGAGAAACCAGCTCTAAACAACTCAGAAAAGAAAGAGTAAAAAGTTTAACTCGTAATTGTTTATTTTTTTACTTGTATGGGCAAGCTGCAAGAATGAAGTCGACTATCTCAGTCTTTGTCTTGACCAGTTGGACTGCTCTTGCGAGTACGTCTGTTTTACGGTCTCCAGCTGGTGTCTGACCTTCGTAATTGCGCATGTTCTTGAGAGCTCCAACTGTAAATGGTTGTAGGATGAAGAGTCTCTCAGACTGCTTGAGGTAGTCTTCACGGTCACGAACCGAATCTGTGGTACGAGTCGAATCGGTCGATTTGAGGGAAGAGAGTGAGAGCCTGTCGTCTTCCATAGGGGCTGTGGCATAATCTTTGCGTAAACGGTTCAGAGCTTCTTCGAAGTCTTGGTCTCTCTTGGATTGAGATTGGAATTGCTGGGGTGGAGCTTGCTGGAACATCCAAGGGTTGGGGAAGTAAGGCATAGGCTGAGGAGGAGGGTAGTTCGGGAAGCCTTGTAGTGGGTAGTAACATTGAGGTGGAAATTGGTAGTAAATCGGAGGTACTTGCTGGAACTGAGGTTGCTGAGGAGACTGTTGTGGTTCTGCAGCTTTCGGTTCTTCTGGTTGGGATATGGGCTCGGTTGGTGGGACGTCGGACATCTGTTTGTGGCTTAACCGTCGGAAGGAAAAACCTTTCCTGTCGGAAGGAAAAACCTTTCCTGTCGGAAGGAAAAACCTTTCCTGTCGGAAGGAAAAACTTTTTCTGAAGTTCGACCAAAAGTTCTCAATTTTCGAAAATTTGAATGGTTTACGGACGGACAACTGGAAGAGTTCTTCCTGTCGTCGGGAAAATTTTTTCCAGTTGTCGGGAAAATTTTTTCCAGTTGTCGGGAAAATATTTTCCTGTCGGATGGAAGGACTCGGAATGCCAGAAGGATTTGACGAGGCAATTTACCTTATAGAGATAAATGAAGTTGTTAAGCAGTACTTGCGCAGGGTAATGAAGCCCAAGGTCAAGTTCACCAGTATTTCTGGAAGGTCTACACTTCAGCTCGAGACTTCGACTGGAATTCCAATTCAAATACCAGACGGGACAGCCTACGACGACATAAAGGACGCCAAAAGAGAAGCTCTTGTTAAGTTCCTAAACAAACGTCCTTGGATAAAAATACCAAACAAGGAGAACCCCCTACCCCATATGAAATTGGCAATTCAGTCTCTCCTTCACTTCTCGGGTCAGCCGTTCTACATAACCTGTGAAGGCGACATCCAACCAGTTCAGTCAACCTTAACGTTTTGAGTAAAAACATTTTTTTTCATTTTTTGAATGAAGCAAGTTAAATTCGTCCCACACCAATCTCAATGGACCGATGAAGAGTTTCAAGCCATGGTTGAAGGCGTTGAGAACGACATAGACGGCGAACTTGAAGGAGCTCAAACCACAATTGCAACCAAAATTGCACAAGTCAAGGAACAGATAGCTCCACTTAAAGCTACCAAAGCTACTCTTGACCTCATGGATACTTACCGTTTAGAAGTAAAGAGTGGAATAAGACAATTAAAATTAAAACTTCTAAACTACGAAGCTATACTCCAAAAGTTAGCAGAAATGAGAAGACTTTACCAGAGCTACTTACATGTAAGGGACTTACCTTCAAGCAGTCCGACCAAAGATGAATTTTCTGACATTGTCCCAATTTTGTCCGAAAGTCAGCTCAGATGTTTTGAACTGCTCCCAACATATCCAGAATATGAACGTTTGCCTGAACTCTTCCGCAATCTCAAAAAACGTTTTTTTGGTTCTCATGTTCGAAACTTTTATCGGAAGAGACAACAAACGTTCAGAAGAAGAACAAGATATTATTTTAAACTTGTTGTATGACTTAACCGTCATAACAAGCTTTTTGAAGTAAAACCGTCATTCTCAAACCACTTCATTTTTTCGATGTCCGAACAAGCACCGAAGCCGAACACAATGGCAGATGTCCTTTCAATGTTGCCAGACAAGCGCCCAGTTCAAATTCAAATTTTGAATTTGAAAGCTCATCTGACAAACACCGTTAAGACTCTCCAAAGTAGTCTTATGGAAGAGATGACCAAGCTCAAAGCCGATGTCCTCATGAACCAAGCTTCCAATGAGAAATGCCTGAATGATTTGACGGAAACCTTGCGCATTTACGCGAGAGAGAACCGAGACCTTGCCAGACTCATCTACCGTTTCTTCGAAGAGATAGACGCCATCTGGAAGGTACTCGGAAAGGACAGAACCTCCAACACCGTAATTCGTGAACACAGAATTGCCGAAGGTATTATCAAAGAAGAGGAAGAAGAGGAAGAAGAGGAAGAAGAGGAAGAAGAGAAACACGAAGAAGAGGAAGTTTGGGCAACCCTTGTTGCCGATGACGCTTATGAAATTTCCCAACCCTACCCATACAAAATCCGCAACAAGGAGACAGGCAAGGTTCTTACCCCAGTCCTCAACAACTTGGGACACTTGAACCTTAACCTTCGGAATCGCGGTTCAATTTCCATGGGCAAGCTTGTCGCAATTCAATGGGTTCCAAATCCAGACAAGAAGACGAGGGTCAGACACATTGACGGTGACAAGCTCAACAACCGTAAGGAGAACCTCGAGTGGTTCTAAGAGTAAAAAAATTTTATTTTAGGGGGAAACCCCAAGTAAATTTAGGTGTTTATTTGGATAAGTATGTGAAATTAAGGTCAATTTGCAAAATTAGTTCCCGACCTTTGAATTGGACTCTTTCGTTCTCCCAGTTGCGTAGGAGGTCGTCCCAGAGGAGTTGGTAGATTTGCCAATCCAAGGACGATTTGTCCTCCCAGGCATTGAGGATGTACTGCTCGTAGAGTCTCATGACCTCTGCCTTGCACCAGACACCCTCTGCCTTGCACCAGACACCCTCTTCCTTGGAACGTAAGGCTTCTTCGAAGTGCTCGAATGCGATTGGCTGCTTGACCATCCGAAATGACACTTTTTGTACGTTTGGTCAATGTTCGTGTCTCGTGCCATAGTCGACGAAAATACAAACAAACAGGTTATATATGAGTTTGAGACCAAGAATGGTGTAACTCGACCTGTCCGATTCAAAGACTCCGAGGGCGACCATGAAATTAAACGGAAATTAGCTAGGAAGGAATATAAAAATTTTTTATTTCATGCAATGTTTTATTTCTGTGCCATCTTCTTTAACACCCCAGTACTTACGCTTGGAGAGGACATGAACTTCGGTGAAAATTTTGTCCAATTTGAATTGACCCATCTTTTCACCGACCATTCCCATTTCAATGAGTTTGTTGTATCCTTCTTCGTTCGTCATGAGTGCGTCAATGTTCTCATAGTAAACCTTCACTTTGGATTTGACTTCGGAGAAGAATTTGTTGTAGTTGTCAAGGACTGCCTTTGCGAACTGAGGATAGGACCAATGTTCGACAATAGGTTTTACTGTGGTTACTAAGCCACCTTGACCTTGAGTAAATTCGTATTTCAAAACAAAAGGGAGAAACCTTTCAACAAAGTTGTCGACCTTCTCATAGTGTTTACTCTTCATCTCTTGAGGTTTCTTAATGGAATATCCCCATGTCGAATTCATAAGCAATTTGAGTGTCATTGCAAGTTTGGGGTTTGAAGCTTTCCTAATATCATACAGTTGTTGTATGACTTTTCCAACTGTATAGTTCCTTCCTGGGAACTCACCATCTTCGTTTGGAATTCCAGTCGGATATATTGGACGAACCTCATGTATGCAGCGTTAAGGTCGACATAGTATATCTTTTCATCTGAGTCGAACTTGTCGCAACCAATGGGTCCAGTTCGTGGAAATTCAAGTGAGTCTCTTATCTTCTGAGAAACTTCGCCTGCTATCTCATAAACATCGTCGAAGCAACCTGTTTCATATAAAACCTTCTGACCTAACTCGATGCTCTCCAATACAATTTGACGTCAATTGGATGTCTCAATGGAAGTTTGTTATATAGCATCTTGAAGTTCTTGCAACCTCATTGGAAGTTCTTCTGGTTCAGGTTGGTATCCGAACAATCCAACTCCTTTTGGAACAGTGTACTTCTTTTGTGCTATAACTTTGTCTGGAACAACTTTTGGTCTTGCTAACAATGAAAAGTTTGTTTCGTCTTTTGGTACAAAAGTTTCTGTCAGCTTGTCATCTGGAATTGGTTCCAACAAACCTTTCTCGAAAAGAATGTTTACAGCTCTGACAATGTTGCACTTGCCTTTTCCGAACAATGGGTTTGTAAGACTTTCGTTCAACATGAAGTGGTTGTGGACAATTGCAATCTTCAACCATGGTAAGTCTTTGTCAACAACATAGTCGTCATGTGAAGAACCTTTAGCTGTAGGTATGTTGACTCGGATATTGACATTTGCCAACGGTGCAATCTTTGACAATTGACCTCTGAGAATGTACCTTGTCTTCACACATGACTCAAGATACTTCATCTTCTCATCTGTAACAAGACCAGAGTTCCTGAGACATGTAAGAATACAAGGTTCATTGACAATTTTTTCAATTGAATTGTAAATTCCATACCTTGTCAAGTCAATGTCAGACTTATTTATGAAGGGGAAGTATCCAGCATGTTGTCTGACTGCTTGAGGGTTAGGTTGGTACCATTCGAACTTGACACTTGCAATTCCTTCAATCGCATTCAAAATGTCTGAGTCGGAGTCAACCATTTGTTCTCTCTTTGTAGTCTTGAAAGCGTCAAGAAGTTTTGCAGCTGTTTGTTCATTGCCATTTGCATAGTAAATGTGACCATCCAAATCTGTTATGGTCAATCTGAGATTGTATCCTTTCTTATTTCCATCTTGTATGGCAGCAAGTACTCCCATGAAGCCTTCTTTGTTCTTTCCTTCGTCAAAGTTTACTGTAAAGGTTCGACCAGATGTAATTTGACTTCTAACTTCACGATACTTTTCATATGCATATCTTGTTCTTTCCATGGGAGCATGTGTGTCTTCACCTTTTCCTTTTTTCCTTCTCAAAGGATGCAATTGTTCGTCATGTTTCCAGTAGAATCTGGCAAAGCCGTCGTGTCCTTCAACTTGAGGTTCACTAACATCGAAAGGCATGTCCATAAGACGTTCTTCTTCTAACCTCTCTAGTCTGTTTGGATAATTGGCACGTGCTGTTTCCAAATCCATTTCGTAGGTCAGACCAGCCAGTTTGTCATAGACTTTTATGGGTCTTCCCTTCCTATATTTAAACTTCTTCGAAACTCTCCAACCATATCTTTGCAACTCTGCTTTTATTCTAGCAGATTTTCTATCCATTCTATATGGGGGCATTTTTATAAAAATAAAAAAATATGTTTTTTTTCTTTACTTTACATAACCGCCTGCTGCCATAAGTCTTTGACGCCAACCCATACCAGCTAATGAAGGTTGACTTGGTTTAGTTTGGAAACTAAACTTTGTTTTTGGTTTATCTTCAGTTTTTGGTTTTTCTTCTTCTATCGGTTTTTCGTCACTTTTCGGTTCCTCTGACTTTACTTCACTTGCAGGAACAGTTGTGTCGTCAACATCTTCATAAATATCATATGCCATTTGTTTTTGTTTTCCTTTCAACTTTTTGTGTTTGTTGTAAAGTTTAGAATATTTCGACTCTAAGTCAATGAGATGTTCTATAATGAACTGTTGGTCAGTGAAGTAAACTTTTCCATCTGTTGTCTCGAAAGCTCCTTCAGACTTCAATATTTTATTTGTGAGAGTCTGTTTCTTTTTTGAGATACTAGCCGTTCCATTTCTATGAAAAGTGACTTTATAGTTAGGGTTTGTATTTCCAGACCTGGCACTTTCTATTATTGAATTTTTCTCTTCATCTGTAAGTTCTTTGACAGGTTTTGACAATGGTTCTGAACTTTTTGTTTGTGGTGTCAAATCTACCGTTTCAACTTCTTCGGTCATTTCATCTCAGTAAAAAATTTTAGTTTGGTTTGTTTTCAACTGGTTGTTTAGGTTTTTTAAGTCGGTCTAAAACTTCCTGAGGTATAGGAAGAACTTGACAAACACGTGGTTGTGTAACTGCTGGAAGTCGACAAATCCATCTTGAACCCATTTGTCTCAATGCTGTATTGTTCATTTCATCTCAGTAAAAAAATTTACATTCCCCACGTTTGAGGTGGTTGCGGTTGGTTGTTGTTTACCCATTGTTGTGCATGGTTATATCCTCTGTTAAAGAATCTTTCACCTTGGTCCATATAGTGCCCTGCTTGGTTATAGTAGTCATTTGCTTTGTTATAATAGTTTCCTGCTTCTCTTCCTACATTGTCCATCCATCCTTGAACTTTTCCTCTTGTTTCAGGATTTGGAATAAGATTTGTTGCATCTCGTGCTACCTCCCAACCTTTCTGTACAGTTTGTATAATAGGTTGTGCTTTCTCTTTAAGTATACCTAATGTACTCAAAATCTTCCTTCCAATTCCAAATGCACCTCTGGCTAGTGTTCCCACTGCGGGCAAAAATCTGGATGCAACTCCTGCTAATGCGCCAAATAAACCCATTTCTTATGGGTTAAAAATGACGAATTCAAACAAGGACCCCTATGTTTCTAAGGCAACAAAGAAAGCACTCATGGTAAAAATCTTTAGTTCAACACCAAATGCTTGGTTTATGGATATCTTGGAAAACATTCCGAGGTATAGAGAAGATGGACCACCATACTGGCTAATATTTGTCGGTCAAAACACAAGATACTGTGAAGCCATACCATTACAGTCTAAAAATATTTTAGATGTCTTAGCAGCTTTGACAATATTCGTTGACAAATACCATCCAACAAAACTGACATCTGACTGTGAAAGTTCTTTCAAATCAGACGATATTAAAAACTATCTGCGTTCAAAAAATGTAAACCAATATTTCATTGTCGACCAAAACCATTCTGCTCTTGGTGTCATTGACAGTTGTATAAAAATCTTAAGAGACTTAAACCAACCACAAGGTGGTGAAGCAAATGAAATGTCATATGACGACAAATATAGACACTTCTCCATGGCAAAGATGAGACAAGTTTTAAATATTTACAATAACCGTAAACAAAAAGGTTTGGGAAACCACTCCCCCGAAGAAATGAAAAACAACCCCGACTTAGAGAAAGACTATATATTTAATAGTTTAGTCAAAAGAGACAAACAAGAAAGAATGCCAGGCTTCAAACTTAAGAAAGGTGACAAGTAAAAATAGAAATACCTAAACGCGACCCATATGAAAATACTATTGACTATGACAACAATGGGAACTCGACAGGTACTCACATTCGTGTTCGTAAAAATAGAAGAAAGTATACAAGAGAATATTATGAAGTTTTAGGCAAACATGGCAAAATGTACAGACTGCAAGCAGAAGATAAAACGACTATTGTCAGACCTCGTTTCAAAACTTGTCAAAGTTCAAGGTGGTATACTTTCAAAGACAGTTCCTAACAAATATAAGACAACTCCTGACGAATATGCTAAAGAAGTTGAAAATGACGACTAAGCAATTCTATACCATGCACAAACTGTCATGTAAGGTGGCATGTATTTTTTACCTAGTCCTGTAGATGTTGTTGTAAAAGTATGTTGGTGGTTTCCTCCTGGTTCAGTTTGTCGAAAAGTCTTTTTGCTGAATGGTTATAATCTGGAGATAAAACGTCATAGCCAGCTTCATACTCTGAGTTGTATAATGGGTGGTCTCTTAATGAGTGGCTATGGTCGCCAGAAAAGTTTGTTGTACCAGAATGACTATGTGGTGGCAAGTTGTCGACAGATATCGTTTTACTTCCACCTGTTTTCTTTGGAGTGTGTGCAAATACAAAAAACTTTCGAGTATTTGAGTCCAAGTTCCAAAACCAAGTACTACTTCTGGTCTGGTAGAGTTCATTGACGTATAAATAGAACCAACGGGTAAATGGTTTGAAGTATTTCTGTCTTTAATGTTTGAAGCTCTGTTTTGTCTGCTTTCTTG